ATTCTGAACTATACGCACGTGTAGTATGAACAAGTGATGGTAAATTAGGGTGGGTGGGCGAGAAGAAAGAGCAGATGGATGGCCGGTCCTGTGGGACAGTAGGGGTCCGAGGCAGGGGAACGACTTCTTAGTAAGCACAGTGTCCTGTAGCTTCTGGCTTCCCAGTTTCATTGGTTTTGTTTTAACCGTGTCTCAGGGATGGATCCCTTTGTGCTATTTTTGGACTATTTCCAAAGCTTTTTTTTTTTTTTTTCTGTTTTTGGTGGCACTGGAGTTTGAACTCAGGGCCTCATGCTTGCTAATCAGGAGCTCTTAACTGCTTGAGCCACTCTGCCAGCCAGCCATTTTTGTGATTTTTTTTTTTTCCTGAGATAGGGTCTTGTGAACTATTTTCCTGGGTTGGCTTTGAACCACGATCCTCTTAATCTCTGCCTCCTGAGTAGCTAGGATTATAGGTGTGAGCCACTGGCACCAGCTCCAAAGCCTTCGCCCCTATAGGTCGGGGGCCCTCGTGTGACAGTGGAGCAGGTGGGGTGGGGGCGTTTTGTGCAGGTTTTCTAGGGCATCTGAGACAGGAGTCAAAGGCTGGCCTTGGGAGGCAAGCTGCCCACCTGCCAGATCCCCAGTCTGAGCTCCCTCACAACCAGGCCAGCTCCTCCCTGGGTAGAAGCCTGGGGACCAGCCTCTCTCCGAGTCCTTCTCTGCTTGAAGTCTAGAATCCCACCCCCTGGGCTCCATAGGGAGACACCAGAGGCTGAAACCTATCCTCCTACCGCCCAGAGAGACCTCTCTTCCTCTCTCTCACCACACAATATTCCACCTGAGGGCCTGGCCTTTTCCCTCCACTCCTTCCTATGCCCCCAGCCCCCTTGCTTGGCAGCATGATTTTACCACTTTCCTCTGGTACGAGCTCTCACAGGCCCCTTCTGGTGCAGGGAGAGGACTCCAAGAGTTTGGCAGGAGCCTCTGGGTTGTTTTGCCTGGGGCCACCCTCCTTTGCCTTCCATCAAAGGAAAGTTGTCCCGTGGAATTGTGGGGTGCAGACTGCTTCCTCCCCTGGCCTCCACCCTAACCCCTCTTTCCCATCCCACCGTGGAATTAGCGATTGCTGCTCAGAGTGTGCCAAGCAGGGAGGAGGGCGGCTTCTCCCTCACTCCTCGTGGGTTCCTGTAGTCACTATCAGGCTGGGTGTCAGCAGAGGGACTTTGTTTTTTAAATTTATTAGCATAAAGTAATTGCCCAAAGGGGTTCATTGTGCTATTTACAACATGCATATTGCCCACCAGTAATCTAGGCAGCGCGATCAGCACTTTGCCTGGAATTGAGGGACTGGCCACACTAAACCCACAGCCATCCTGGAAGATTGCCAGCAGGCGCCAAAGGATCCTAGATTGAGCCTCCGGACTCAGGAAATACCAATGTCCCTTCCAGGTGTTGGAAATTTTGTTTTGTTTTGCTCTATTTTAAATTAGGAAAATGACTATTAAATGGTTAGATGTGTTTGCTGGAAAATACTCAAGTGTAAGGCAACAGTTTCCAAATTCCCTGCAGAGCCTGGACACAAGGGAACATTGGCAGCCAAGCCTGTTATTAAGAAGGTCACAAGATGCCATCTGGTATTGCACGCACTTTCCGTTCAGGCATAATACGGACTCCGGGTGGCTGCAATTGATTTTGCCTGTGAACCTGACGATAGTGCTCCAGTGAGCACCGTGGTGATTTGCGTGGGCTGTGTGAACAAGCCAGGTGTCCGCCTACGAGAGGGGCTAGAGTTACACGGGAGAAGGTAGGACACTGGTGAAGCATTGGTCTTGGGTCTGTCTTTAATTACAGCTCAAATGTAGCTTGGGATGCCCTTGTCTGCCTTTCCCATTTTTTTAATGCCTGATTCTAACCACCTATAAAATATGACAATAGCCTTCTTAAAATTACAAAGTTGAAGCAGATAAATGAATGCCTTATTCTTTTATTCACAACCTAAAGTCTTAAATCACTTAAAAGTTGAAAGAATATTACAACTAATACCATCCCGTTTCTCCTGGATTCATCAGCTGTTACCATTGTGTCTCATTTGTTAACATTTTGATTTATCTCAAGTTGTATGCACTGATAGCTGCGTATGTTTATTTGCTGGTCTGTTGAAGGAAATTAAGGACATTGTAGCATAATATTTTCAAATGCGTGTGTCTCCTGAGGTAAGAATGTTTTCTTGCATAACCACAACACTACTTTCCCACTCAAAAATGTACCATTGACAGAATAAATTTTAACCTAATATTCAGACCATCAAGTGCCTTTTTCTTATGAATCTCTGGAAAGAGATTTGCTCTCTCTCTACTCTATCCCAGTGATGAACCACTGTCTCTCTAAGACAGTGATGCCTTGTATTTCTGAGATATTTTGAAGAATCTGATGAAAACTCTGGGCTCTATCTTCAGAAGAATATCCATAAGGATACCTATCTAAGCTAACCATGGACTTGGAGGCCCCCCCCCGGGTGTTCATGGACTTCAGGTTAAGTGGTGTCCATGTTTAATCTAACGTTCCCTGCTTTATGTACACACAGTTTAAGACTGCAGTACTCAAAAGAGATGGAGAACAGTTTGTCTCGTTCTTCCAGCATTAGGTTTTGTGTTCATGAACCTTCATTTTGAGGAACTCAATGTTTCAAGAAAATCAGAGATGGGTAGGTGGGAGATGCAATGATCCCAAAACTGCAACACAAACAAGGCTGGCAGTTGTGCTGTGAGACACCCAGCAGGTAGACTAAGTGACTCCAAGAAACCTTCCAGACTTGAGCTGCTCTGATTCTGTTGGAGCTGAGACACACAAGTCTGCACTTGCCTTCTTGAAATTTACTTTTTAAAACCAAATACCTGTAGCATCGCACAAGGTTGGCACACATTTAAGGATCCAAAGGTAGAATTTGCTGGCAGTTAGTTAGGTTCATCAGTAAAATTGCCCGACTTGGTTACAGTTCTAGGCTTAGGACATAGAAACAAGGAGATGAACACATTTTAATAAATTAAAGGTAACATGAAATGTTCTTAATCAAAACCAAACACCGTGGGTTTTGTTTTGTCAACTGTGACCTTGCAAAGAAAAGCCATTAGCTAACCAACGTCCAACATATGTGAGTTTACTGGTGTTCTTCCCATAGGGAGACTAAATTAGAAAAATGACCAAGTTTGGCTAAAAGATGGACACACTGGGTAAATAACTCATTAAACATTAAAGATTTACAGAAAGTAATTTTTGATGTTTTGGTCTCTTTCTGAGGCATCAAATGCCTCAAAATTACTTTCTGTAAATCTTTAATGTTTTAGAATCGTATTGTCTACTAATTAGTGATTATATAGCACAAGTCTTAAAATGAAGGTGAACGAAGCTAGCTAAGGTAGACTTGAAGCTCTTGCAGAGCTTTGAAAGGCTAAGACTTCATAGAGAATGGAGCAAGAAAAGCTGATGGTATGGCATTAACAACTTCTTCTTCTTCTTCCTCCTCCTCCTCCTTCTTCTTGACAGTACTGGGGTTTAAACTCAGGGCTTCATGCTTGCCAGGCAGGTGCCCTACCACCTATGCCTCCTGCATGCTGGGACCACAGGCATGAACTGCTATGACCAGCTTATTCATTGGGATAGGGTCTCACTAACTTTTTGCCCAGGCTGGCCTCAAACTGTGATCCTCCAGTTCTCTGACTCCAGAGTAGCTAGGATTATACCTGCATGAGCCACTGTGCCCAGTCTTGCATAAACTTCTTATACATCTGCTTTTACCATAGTTGTGGAAAAGTGGGGTTTTATTGAACTTAGCTAAATAATTGTCAAATTCTTTGATTTTGGCTTAAGATACCTTGTTTTACAAATTTTATCCTCATTAAATAGCACAGATAATAATCAGTACTTGCCAAAAGTTGTTCCTCTCATATTATGCCAAATGAGGCCCCTTTCAGCATTTTTAAAATTTTTAATAAGTATACACTAGAGAACTAAACATAACTGGTCAATAGTGGAGTGAAGTAGTATCTCGTATAGTCACATATCTATTAGAATAGATATCTACTAGAATAGCTATAATCACAAGGACAACACAGCAAATGCTGGTGAGCATGGAGACACTGGAACCTTCACTCATGGTTGGTGGGACTAGAAAGTAGCACAGTCACTTTGGAAAACACCGGCAGTTTCTTTAAAAGTTATGTATAAATTTACCATAGGATCCAGCAATTCCACACATAGGATGCTACACAAGAGAAATAAAAACATACCTCTAGGGCAGGGTATGCATGCCTATAATCCCAGCACTCAGGAGGTTGAGGCAGGAACATCACAAGTTCAAGACCAACCTGTGCTACATACAAGACCCTGTTTTAAAAATCCAAAACCCCAACAAACAAATAAAAAACATGTCTATACAAAGACTTGCATGTGAGTGTTGAGTGAAGTTTATCCATGACAATATATGACTCCATTCAGATGAAATGTCCAGTACAGGCAAATGTATAAGAAGTAGACAATGGTTTTCTGGGACCAGTACTAGGAAAGAAGGAATTAGCTGTGAATGGGATGATGGGAGCTGAGTGGAGTGATGAAAATGGTCTAAAATTTGCAAAACTTGGCAAATTTATGGAAAATCATTCAACTGTACAGTTAAAGTGGGTTGGTTTTAGAGTGTGTGAATCATACCTTAATAATGTCTATAAAACACCCCTGAGCTTCCCAAGACCTGAAGAAAAAATGTTAGAGCCTTGGAATTCCAGGATGGCCTTGCTTCCCTCTGATTCAGAGAGTCTAAGCTGTATGTCACAGAAGAATGTTCCAGACGTGAAAAGGTTTACCCCTCCCAAAAGTTCTAGAAGGTTTGCTAGGAACTTAACTTCGGGTCACGGTTTGTCATCCCTGACTAGTGTTCATGGGATGCACACACAATGTGTCAGTAATAGCCTGAGGGTGTGTGTGAGAAATGTTTCAACACTGAATTCCATCCTGCTTTCTTCCCCAGTTCTCGTGAATGCAGGACCAGTCCCTGATATCACTAGACTCCCAAAAACTTCACTTCAGGTCAAGCACAGAGTGGTAAGTCCGACACATCTCAGTGATTTTGTGCATGTACACACTCCTACTTCTACACACTTCATATTCCCTGTAAGAAAACAAACCAGAAGGAGTTGAGTTTTAAAAAGAAATTCATTCAGTAAACACTTACTTAGGAGTGCTTATTATATGTGTGGCTTCTTACTAGGCCACCGAGATACAAAGGTAACCAAGGTCACCCCTCATGAACAACCAGCAATGGTTTTTACCACAGTCCTGATTTTTCCTCTTCCCATGAATGGCAATGATTACATGTAGTATAATGGCAATTAAAAATGAAAACAACTTTTCTCTGACTGTAAACTTCCCAACAATGCAAAGACTAGAAATGGAAAAGAAATAAAATTCAAGGCTGGGTTCATAGTTCAGTGGTAAAGCACTAGCCTAGAGTGCATGAGGCCCTGGGTTCCACCCCCAACACCACAGAGAAAAAGCCAAGTAAAAATCATCTGAAGCCCTCTCCCTTCCTTCAGGGATAAGTTACATGTTAGAGAAGTTTCTTACAAATGTCTCTAAACTTATGTGTGCACATGTACACACATGCACAGTATATTGAGGAAGATCGGCCTGGACATATTTCTCTGTAGTCTGCTTTTTCACTCATTCTTTCATGGATATCCTTCACTGTGAACAAATAATTATTTTCATCCTATTTAGCAGCTGGATGGGAAACCACTGACTGGATACATCACAATTTAAAAATATCCCATATAACCTGACATTTAGGTTTTCACATTTGTAATTACTAAAAACAAGCCAGGAGTGTTGGGGTTAACTGTAATCCCAGCTACTTGGAAGGCAGAGGTAGGAAGATACTGGTTTGAGGCCAGCCTGTGCAAAGTTAGTGAAACCCTATCTTAAAATACAAACTGAAGAGTTGAAAGTATAATTCAAGGGGTTGAGCATTTGCCTAGCATTCTTGAGGTCCTGGGTTCAATTCCCAGTATGGCAAAACAAACACAAAGACAAAAACAAAAAACCACAAAACCAAAATAAAGCTATGATGGCTAAAATTTGAAAGTACATTTTTGTAATTGTAAATTCATCTCTTTAGGGCACATTCCCATAGTTTAATTCTTGAGCCAGAGAATATGCTTATTTTATATATGGTTGAATTGCCTCCCAGAAAATTGGCCTCATGTTCTCAATGCTTGTGTTCTTCCATTCTTTCTAATGCTCATTTTAAAAATAATGTCAGCGTTATCCAATTTGATAGATAAAGATATTTCAATTTTCTTTACTAGTGAGATGGGACATCTCCGAAGTTTAGGAGTTTCATAGTTTTTTTTTAAATTAATTATAGCTGATTCTTATTATTTGCACTAGCTTTTTTGTAAAGTTGCCACCAACACTGAATTGACAATATGAGCCATTGCTCCTAGGGGAATTACCTGGTTAGGTTCCTGCAAGCCTCCTGTCTTTCACTGTTGTCTGCTTATCAATACATAACCTGCTTTTATATGTATTTCTGCATAAAGACACTTTACTACATGTTGTTAATAGCATTGAACTCACGGCCAACAGCACTGTGAGTTAAGCAACACATCTTCCCTCTGTGAGGCATATCATGGCTTTCTGTGTTAGGAAGAGGACACTTCGGCACAGGCTCAGGGAACATTTTAAGTAGCTTAATCACTAAACAACAGCACCCATAAGAACACAGAAGATGTAGCCCTCAATAGACTGCCAAAAGGACTCTTGATTACAATCTGAGAGCTCAGGTGAGGCCTTGTTCAGCTCGCTTGGCTGTAGCTGGGGAAGTTTGGATCAGGACATGCCACTCTGTATGTCCTCAAAGAACTTCAGAAGTGCTGTGAGTATTAACGTCAGGGTTACACAGAAATTTTAGCAAGTAGATACATTCAGAAATATAGTATCCACGAATAATCAGTTCCTTTGCCCATTTTTCTATTAGGGCATGTAACTTTCTCTTACTGATTTGTATTTGCTGTTTACATATCGGGATGATTATTATTGGTCCCAGATAAGGTTTAATTTTGCCTATCTTATTTTATAAGCATTTCCCCCAATTTTGTCTTCCCATTTTTCTATTACTGCCTTTTGTTATAATGTCTTTTGACAGCAGTATCAAAATGTCTTGTTTTTTTTTATTGGACTTAAACTCAGGATCTCATGCTTGTTAGGCAAGGGGTCTATGACTCTAGCCCTTTTTTCTTTAGTTATTTTTCAGATAGGGTGTCACTTTTTGCCCAGGGTCAGCCTTGGAGCACAGTGCTCCTACTATTTTTCTCACATAGCTGGGACTACAGGTGTAACCCCATAACAAGCTTGGGCTCTCTATGTAGACCAAGAAGGCTTCTAACTCACTATGTAGCTGGCCTCAAACTCATGATCCTCCAGCCTCAGCCTCCTGAGTGCTGGAATTACAGGTGTATGCCACCACACCTGGCTTGGTTGGAATTTATAGGTAGCTTTCTTTATAATTAACTTTCTTTTTTAACAGGCACACCAGACTTGGAGTTTTAGTGATCCAGCACCCCCAAACCATGGAAAACTATGTGAGTGCCATGATAAACTATTTTATATCCACTTTTGGTCCTTATTTTAGTCATCCTCTTCATCTGATGCTTTCATGCCTTCCAGGGCCTGAGACCATATAATGCCTTCTGCACTTTTTTTTCTCCTCCTGTTATGCACCTTGTTACTTCATTCTATGCTTCCTAACAATAAAGAAGGTAGGATGAAGAAATGACAGGAGGGGAAGATCCAGCAGAGACACTTGCCACTGAGTAGCAGCTATGAAAAAGAAAGTGTGTGTGGTGGTGGCAGAGGTGGGGTGTGTGTGTGAGGGTTTGGATGTATCTATCTAAAAGCGTTTAGAAATGTCAGTCCATTTCATGTCTTCATACATGGGAGCACTTACACATTGGCTCTTTCTTCAACCTAGATGTGAGATGTAAAAAGCTACACCCTAAGGCCGGGAAGGATTACAAATATGAAGGGAGAAACTTCCTAAAGCAAGTAAGAATCTTTTCACTTGTCACCCAGCAGTAGATCCTGGGTGTCTGCAGGGCAGTGGGCGCAGTAGTGTGTTTACAGTTGGTATAAAACACTTCTGCTTTATAACCAGGTGAAAAGTAGAGCTGTGCTGATAAGACAGGCAGACTTCCTTAAGGCACCACGAGCAACTTCTTGTGTAGATCTCAAAATGAGCTTCAGAGGTGTTAGGAAGGGGATTTCTGTTGACCTGTACAGATTCCCATCAGTGCTACCAGGGAGTTGTTCCTTTCTGCCTCTTGTGATAAAGATGTAAGTTCTCAGATTTTCCTTTCTGCTGGGGATCCAGGGTGTCCAGTGTCCCAGGCCCACCTCCATCATGTGCCTGCCCTCCTGCTGGGTATTTATTTACTGTCTCTGCTTCCCCTGACATGGCCCAAAAGACCAGGGACTCTGACAGCCCAGTGAAACTGTCTAAAACCCAGGAAGTTTTAATAAGATGTTACAGTGGGGTTCCTTTCATGTTGTAGAGTTCTGGCAAAGAGTCTTAGAGAATAGTTGAAAGAAAGACTAAATCCTGGTTGTTGCATGTACTTTACTGACTTCATTTATTATAAAAGTAATGATTTTTGTGGTATTAAGCCATTTCTTTAAATTGCCTTAAAAAAAAAAAAAACCCAAAACTCAGACTCACTCTAAGTAATTATGTTTGTGATGTCATGGGGTTGGTATGTGAGTTATGTGTATTAGAGAAAAAATAACCTGACCATTAAAATAAAAATGAGATTCAAGTACCATTTAATATTATCACAAGAACCACTGATTGTACACACAGATCACTTTGACAGTGCTGGTCTCTGGGCACCAAAGAGGGATTATGATATGTTTAGCTATTAGAGTTAGATGGCTTACTTTGGATTCCAGGCAAATAGCTTATTTTAATGGTAGCCTTCTAGAAAGGAATTTTTTGCTAGAAGATCTGATAACTTTCCCGAGGACTACTTTGGGCAGGGGAAGGCAGTGTAGTGGCACATGGAGTGTCTCGGGGGGCATTTGAAGCTGTGGCACCCGCTGAAAGTTCCACTGCCTGGGCAGTCAGGGGCCTCTCCTGCCGGCTTCTGAGAAGGCTAGACGATTTCCTGAAAGTATGCTACTGATAGCTGGAGGGCCATTAAGCACTGTTAAGTAAATAAGTCCCTCTTCCCACATGTTGCTGCCTGGATGCTAAGCCATTCCATTGCCAATCAGTGTCACAGCTGTTCTGGGGAACAGTTGTCTTTTTCTGAAAGGTGCTTCCCTGACCCATCTCCTAAAGTAAATTCTCCATACTCAACTGTAGCTTCTTTTAAGTCAACCATTCATGACAAGCAAGTGACATTGCATCCTGATTTAGTCTTTGTGATACAGTAACAGGCTGCAGGTACACATGCACCACACACTCGTAGGGTACCCTTATTTGAGAAATGTTAGACCAAAATTCCTGAACAAAAAATAAATCATGACTTTATGAGGCAAGGCCCATCTTAATATTTTTTAAATATTAAGATGCAAATACTTTAGGGGAAAAACAGCAAACATCCAGATGGAAAACTGTACACATTGCTGTGTTAACAAGAAGAGATTGAATGAAATTTTTAGCCATCATTCACAATATTCTTTCTTTAAAACAAATATTTGGTGACTAGTGCCTTTGGTAACCATCCTCTAAATATTTGTGGTCCTGGGACCTAATTTGAAGTTTATGGTGTAAAACTAGAAAGCAGAAGTTTCACCCAGGAATGTCCCGACTGAAGAAATAAATGGTACAGAACCCAGAGAGGGAGCTGGAGGCGGCTGCTTGCCACTAACAGGTGCTTAGGAAAGGATCAGGGGTCAGTCAGTGATTCCAAGAGTTTTTGTCTTTTTTTCTCACCTGCCTGTTGATCTGGCTTTCCTGACAGAGGCACAAGATACCAAATAGGAAGGTTAAAAAAAAAAAAATGGAAGAAGATGCAGGCACAACCCTAATTCACGAATGATAGGTGGTTTGAAAGAGACAATTGAGTTCTCCATTCTGTGGGAAACGCGACCTTTGCGGGTGAGTGAGTGTTGACAATCAGGCCATTTTTCTCCAGCTGCAGCAACAATGGGATTCGGAAAGCAGCTTTGGCTCGTCGAAAGACTCCGACACGGATCAATACTCAGATTGTAGTGGTGGAGGACGACGCACTACCTTCCTTAACTGAGCGCAGGGCTGGGGGCCGGAGTCCACCTTGACTTTGAGGTAGGTGGTCACTTCCCTTCACCGAGTCCATCCCTCTTTGTTTTTGTGGTTGTATGCTTTACCTGGGAGAGGGGACAAAAGACTCACTGATTATTAAAGTTTCCTTTAGAATGGGAGGTGGAACCACATTCCTCTGCAGGAGCCACATGGATGGCGGCGTGGCCTCGATCCTCCGGGCTCCCTTGGCAAAGGGCGGGTGCCTTGCCTTTCGGGCAGCCGGGAGGGCGCGGGGCCTGGGCAGAGGCTTTGTGGATTCCCAGCCTGGCACACAGGAGCGCAGCTTCCCGGCCCGGTCTCCTCCGCGCTGCGCCGCCACCAGGCAAATTGGCTCCGCCTGTTGCGCCCTGGGAGTCCGATGTCCCCAAGACTGTGGTCCCCGCCCAGCGATCGTCCTCCTCCCGCACTCACCCCGCCCGACAGCTGCTGTCCTGGGGGCGGCAGAGCAGCCCCTGTCTGGTCCACCAAAGTAGCCACATCCTCCCTCTCGTTCCCCTTCCCCTTCCCCTGAGCAATCCGCCTCCCACCCGCGCCCGCTCCATCCCGGCCCATTTACCAAAACTGTTCTCCAATCGTGATTGCTTGTCTTTTTTTTGAGGGGCGGCAGTGGGGTTTGAACTCGGGATCTAAGCAGGTGCTCTACCACCTGAGCCACGCCCCCAGCCTTTTTTGCTCTAGTTGTCAGGTAAGGTTTCTGCCTTTTGCCCGGCCTCAAACTGTGATCCTCCCAATCTCCGCCTCCTGAGCAGCTGGGATGACAAGATATGCCAATGCAACCAGCCTCAATTTGTGACTTCTGTTGAACAGAAAGACCATTAAAGGTCTCACCACCACCTCTAGCCTCCTCCCAACTCCTAGCGATTATTTTTGTCTTTTAGCCCCAGGTTGGGCCAAATACATTCCCTGGAAGCCATCTGGTCTCATTCCCTTCATATGGTTTCCATTAAGCTTGCCAAAACCATGCATGGAAAATGCAGTCCTGTAGCTGCTCAGGAACCTCCAGGATTTTTGCCCTGGCCAGCCTGGCTGGAGAACCTCAGGCTGAGGGAGGCAAGTCCAGTAGGTTTCTGTTGGGAGCCTCTTACCCAAGGATCCTGGTCTTCAGGCTGTAATTAGTGTGTTTCAGGACTCCAAGGAATGGTAGTTCTTCATGGCAGTGGTTGTCATTCATTCCTTCAGCGTTTGTTTTCACTAGCTGCAAGGCAAAGTTCACTAGAATTCTGTTTTAATTCTATGTTAATAGCTTCACTGATGAGTTTACAGAGGTAACCTAGCCACAGAAATTCAGTGTGCCCGGCAGCATTAGTATAGTTAGATCTATCCCTTTCCCTTTTCTGTCCCCCATTGTCAAAGGCCATAGGAGAAGCAGAACAAAGGAAAACACAAAACAAATGTGAGTCATGTGGAAACCTTACACGTGGGTTACTCAAGTGAACAGGCAGGTTCATGCAACCATACAAGGGTCTATCTGGAAAGTTCCTTAGAATTTATCAAGAGAAGTCTTTTTATTGAGGAGAGTGGAGGGGCTTTGGGAAGGCCACATGACTTATGAGTACAGTACTAGCTATGAGCCCTGCAGCCTAATTTAGGGATGTAGTGGGAGGAGACCTAGCCATCCAGTGTTTTCTCCTAGATAGCAGAAAGGGTTTCAGTCAAACTGAATTCAGTTGTAACATGTCTTTCTCTCTCCTGCCCTTCACCTGCAGTTCTCTTTGTCCTGCCCTGGGACTCAGGGAGTTTCTTGGTCTCCCTTTCTTTTCCTTTGCTTTCCTTCCTATTCTCCCACTCTTGCCCCAGCTGTGTGATTTTATTTGGGTTTATAAAATGAAACCAGGTGCTGCATAAAAACAAAGGCAAAGTAATAACAAGGAAAGACTATCTAACGCCTAAGGAACGTGCTGAGTTTTATGACTCAGGCTGTCCTGGCAAAGAAGTGGGACTGACACGGAGAGGTGGGTGGCACTGAGCACAGACCATACATGGAGCCTTGGCTTCCTCAGATAGGATGGTCAAGGCAGCTTGTGACTCACTTTGTGAAACCAGACTCTTGTTCTTTGTGGAACAAGACTTCCCAGGAGCAGAAGCCAAAGGCTCATCAACTTTCCCCTGCAGGACTAGATCTCTCTGATAGGACAGGGGCCCTATCTTCCACCTGGGAAGATGGCCCAGGTGAAAGGCCTTCTGGGAGAAAGAAACAGGCTTGATGGGCTTGGTCAAGGGCTTGGTGCATTTAGAAGATAAATAACATGTAAGCTGCAAAGTGCCATGAAAATTAGCATGTAGTATAGTGGAGACATGGCTTTGGAGTACCAGGTCACAGGATTGCTGCAGTGCCTTGGAAGAGGCAGGCATGGGAGCAGAAGGGTGTTTGTTCTGCAGCAGTGCCCACAGTGCAGGATGCTTTTTGGGGTTCTGGTGTGCCTTGCCTTTCCTAATGCATTTGGGATGAGAAACTAAGAGCAAGACCCATGGACTGTGCATAAACACCCAGAGAGTCACCCAAACACATATCCTCACATTCTGACAATTCTTTTCAAATGGGCATAGTGACGGGATGACATGTACATTTTTTTTTCTGTTACTAAGAGACAGGCTGGGCACACTAGGACAATGTCTTGCCTGGCAGGGGTAGTGGGAGGGGGATCTGAACCTTGGTGATAGAAATTGCCTGTGCTGCTTTCATTACACCGGGGGCTGAGTGGGATAAAATGCTTCTGATAGTCCTACTTCTGGTGTCCCCACCCCAAAGAAGGCTGTCCCTTTTTGAATGAGAATGAACCTTGACGGACCAAAATGGTATGTCTACGTGTAGCATCAGGAACTGGAGTTTGCATTTTCTTTTTTTGTTGTTGTTCTTTTCCATGGAATACCTACCAATAGCTAGAGTGACTATCCCATAATTGCAGGAGAAGTTCTGCTTAACTTTTTCATTAAGGCCTACTTACCTGGAAAAATACAGTCTTTTCAGGATGATGACTTCATAAATATTTATAGTGTGAAAGGCGTCACTCTGGTTCTATGGGAGAATGGGCTCATTCAGTCTTATTTATGATGTGACATTCGGGTGAGTGACACCTGTCATTTGAGTCGGCCCTGCATGCTGCTCCTCTGAACCATGTTTATGGAGTGATTATACCTGTGAATATTTGCTATATTTAGGCTCTCTCCTCCCCTGACTCCCTCTTAGCCTTCATAAGTCTCCAAAACAGCAAAAAGCCAAGTTTTGAATCCTAATGACAAAATAATGGAGGTGGGGAACACATGCTGTAGAAGCATTTGATGAGTTGGGGGGTATTTAGAATGGGAACACTGGCTGCTATCTAGCATTCTTATAGTAGGATGGTTTTGTAGAGCCTACAAAGCCACTCACAGAGCCAGCGTCTAGCAGGTGAAGGATCTCAGCTTTGTATGAGGGGTTTTGACAGGTGATGAGTGACAAATGCAAACAGAGGCTTATGAAACTCTTCCCTTCCAGGGAGCTCTCTCTGCCCCACATCTTTCAAGGCCCTCTCTGTGGTTGTGCATCCCTTGGCTCTGGGGACAGGACCTGGTGGGGACTTGGTGGCCTCAGATAGGTCAAGGTCTCTAGTATAACCTGAGGTCTTCCCTCTCAGCTATACCTGGCTCCAGGCTGGAGGCGAATCAGTTGCGGAGGAAGACGGTCTCCTCTGGCCCCCTGGTTTTAGAGCTATGAATGGCCTGACTTAGGCATTTCCGGCTAGGCACAGGCCTACTTTAGGACTCAGGATTTGCCTCCTATTGGCTTGGATACCTATTGTTTATCCTGGGAAGGGCCCGATCCTGGCATGGGGGAGATGAAGTGTTGCCAGCATTTTATTTTTAGAGACAGGAAAATGTCTGCTTTTTGGCTTCTTCTCTTTTCTTCTGGCACATTCCAGGGATGGCGTAAAAATGTTCAAGTGAGAGATTCCAAGCCTTAAATTCATGGCATATGACACAGGCAATATAGTACCATGAGTTTCTCAACAGAGGTCTTTGTGGAGCTAAGTTCTTTCATTCGAAGGTTTCCTGGCTACAGCAGTGGCACTGATATATCATCCTGGTGGTGAAAGTCCTCCAGTTGGCCACAACTTTATCTGGATGTCTCATGAATCTTTTTGAGGGCATCAGCTGGTCTAGAATATCATTGCTCTGATCTCCATTATTCTTCTCCTTGTCTACCAATCTAGAATCTAGTCCAACTTGGTAGAGAGAAGAAAAAAGTCTACTCAATTTTGTGTTCACAAACCTTCCTCAGACCCCCCGGTGACTGTTAGAAAGCTGACAGCTTCCATGGTGATAAGTGTGTGACTGCACTCAGGAATTGCATTTTTATTGGCATTAATATTTTTCCTGATGTGTTTCTCTCTTAAAATACATTTTTGTAGGTCCCTGCATTCTGGCCTTTGACAATCTTATCTGAAAGCAATTTGCAAACTATATTGACATATTATGCAAAGGTATAAGAGAATGAAATAAAAGTATAAAATTAAATTGTGTTTTCCTGCCTTCTCCCCGCCCCCACCCTGCCCCAATATTTGGAAAAAGATTGCTTTCTAATTAAAAAAATAAAACATTTTCCTTTATTGGGTATAGCCCATGATTATCTTTTGGATTCATTTTTCTTTTTGCTGGAGTACATCCTTTGATAGGTTTCCTCTGTTCTTCTTTCTCCATTGGAAAACAAGTAATAAATTTTTCTAAGGGTTTGTATTAGAATTTATTTGACCTCGTTCTCTGAGTGTTAGTTTGACTTGTTACAGAGCTTTAAGATTGAATTTATTTTTCCCCCACATTTCTAAGTTATTTTTCCATTGTTTTCTTGAAACTGCTATGGTTGGTGAGTCGTCCCCTGCTGACCTGAATCTCACTCCTTTGTAGGGAATCTCTCTGAATCCTATTGTCCCTTGTAGTATTGTCTTTTTCACCTTGATGTTCTGGGGTTTTATTTTGGTATCATTATGTGT